ACCCACTTTGATGCATTTTTCAAATTTCGCCTTGGGGCGGAGTTATCTTTTCACAGGGGGGTAAGTTACACTTTAATGAAAAATCTACAACAAGCAAAAGAAAAGGACAAAGAAGCAGCCGAACTAGCAATCCTCAACAACTTTTTAATTTTTACACCAGAACCTAAAAGGTCTGTTTCAGGAAATCACATCCCCAGTAATTGACGGTTGTAAAATTAAGATGTAAAAAGATTCATACACCGCTAGTTGGCAGTGTTGTGCAAATATTGTACATGAATTATTGCGAGCTATAGTGTCAAATTGAACTTGCGCTTTAAAATTAGCTTCTGCTAGTTTTTCTATGGCATAAACGTTTTTGAAGTTGCTGACCTAAATATTTTCATAAGCGCTTTAGAAATTGCGGAGCCAATTTTTGGATTAGCGCTGCCCACCACTGATTGTTATGATACAAATAAGATAAGGACAAAACAGGCATGATGTTTTCTGATCAGCTAAGTCTGTGAAAGCAGAAATGCAACGCACCTCTCTGATTTGTCCTTTTTCAGTGCTTGCCTGTCCGACTGTGATTTTCCTCAAGAAACGATCATTCGTGTCAACAACTGAAAAACAAAATGTTACTTTAACTTACAGCAATAAATTCTATTTAATTTAACAGAAAAGGTGGTTTTGATGTCAAGCTACTTCCCTGAATTCACCACTGGAATCTAGCTAATAATCCATAACTACATGTAACAATAAATCCAGCACTGTTTGTAAAAAGGTCCTGGCTGATTGTAAAGGTTCTCTGAATCTAATGTTGTTACAAACAGCTGGGAACCATGTTAGTCAAACAGTTTCTACAGGGTCATTTGGTATATTGAAAGAAGGGGTGGAAAAACATGTTTCACGAGTACCAAGACTTGTCCAAATAGGTAAATCTGTTTTTATTCTGGAGGGTTTGTTTCTTAAATACTGGCCTTCGGACACCCTGAGGTAAATACCACATCAGTCACTGCCGAGCAGSATTTGATTCATCGACGGCTTTAAAACAACACGGCTGCCACAGCTGTAGTGTTTTACCAACCTCCCACAGTTACAGGCATTACGACATTACTTTCATTTAACATAAACCAATTACGTAACATTCATTATTTAAATGTTTTTATGCAATATTACACAAGAATGGAACAAAAGGTCATCGGCAAGAACTTCAGTTGTTTGTCAAAGTCTCTTTGATGTTAATATGACATTTATATTGCCTTTGACCAAGTCTCGGGTCAAGTCAGGCTGTCTTAACTCTGCTGTCTGAGACGATGAGCGATCTCCACTTCTGTCTGCCTGCTGTGCTGGGAGTTGTCTCAACATTTGGCGCTTTAGATTCAAAAGTGTCTCCACTTTTCTGTGCCAAGTCGCATACACACTGCAAAACCTGTCCATCTTACCAAGTTTTAAAATCTTATATCCAGCCAAAGTCTTTTTTATCTTGTTTTGAGACTGATTTACTAAACAAGAACTGATTGTGTAAGAATAATAATTTTGTTTTCAGAATGATTAAGATTATTTGTCTAGTTAGCCTAAAAATTTGACTTAAATCAAGTAAAAATACTTGGTAAGATTCTTGAAATACTTGATTTGAGTCCATTTTTTCTTACTTCAAGAATCAAGTAAAATTTTCTTACTCCATTGGCAGAAATTTTTGACTTAATTTGTCAAATTTTCAGACTAAGACAAATAACCTTACACATTCTGAAAACAAGATGATTATTCTTACACAAACAGTTCTTGTTTAGTAAATCAGTCTCAAAACAAGATCAAAAAAGACTTCTTGGCTGGATATAAGATTTTAAAACTTGGTTAGATGGACAGTTTTTGCAGTGTTCTTTTTAAACGAGTTAAGAGAGAAGCTGAGCTCAGTGACACATAACTAACATGTCAAGTACATTTCTTTTATTATTCAAATAAATTGATTTTGATGTTATTTTGCAACAAAAAAGTCACTTTTAGTGACCAGAGGCCAGAAGATATCATGGTAAAAGTGTAGGTTTCGCAGCAGACTAAAGGTGGAACTAAAAACAAATCCTTAGTTAGACCTATAAACTTGTAGATACCTCTCTGCCAGGTGATTTTGGACGGATCAAGATCCAAACGTACGAAGGCGCTGACTTCTTCTGGTGTGAGAGATGCAGGATCTGATTTATCAATACCGAGACGCTGAAATGGGAAAGAAAATACAGACTCAAAGTATTTTAAGAGAGAGAAAAAAAAAGAGTGGCTCATATTTCTGTGTCCACCCTTCGGTTCCTGCAGCTACAGATAACAGAGATTTATCCCATATTCACATTAAGAAGTTCACCAGCTGGAAAATATCTCCAGAGAACATAAAATAAATCCAGAACAAATGACTACAAGATGACAATATTACAGGTTCAAATGTTCAGTGGGAGTGTTCTGCTAACTCTCTCATTCTTTCCATAAAGAAAGTTTGGGCTTTTTAACATCTTATCAAAGAGACTTTCATACAACAGAATAAACACTGAGCCGACTGACGCTCACCTCCCTCTCATGTCCCCGACTTCATAACATTAGTCAAACAGTCTTCCTTTAGGTTATATATCAGCTATAAGCATGACAAGTGTGAGGTTGTAGCAGAGAAATAAAGCTACATTTAAAAATAGACTGAGGCCCCCTAGTGAAAAAACAAAAACATTTCTTAAGAGCATTTCATACTGCTGCCTTTTTATTAACTGTGCCGACACTTCCTCTTAGAACTGTAGTGTTTGGACTTACATGCAGCCTGGAGATCTGGATGGGAGAGAACCTTCTGACTCCGTTCACTGCAGGAACCAGTCTACTGAAAAGGGCCTTGACAGAATAAGAGAAAACAAGTATTTTGTCACTTTCATGCAAATATAATAGCATTTAATAAACTTTATGTTAATGCTACAGCAGAAAACTTTATTTTCTTTCTGAAGTTCTGAAATTTCAAAAACAAATTCACAAATGTATGTAAAAAAAACATATTTTTACACTGGATCATCAGAACGACTGGTTTTTATGAAACTTTACAGTCACCTTGTCTGATTGTGTTTTCTCATGGAGCATCCTGGCATCGATGGCTGCTGCCACCAGGTTATTGGCTGCTGTGATGGCATGGATGTCACCAGTCAGATGCAGATTAAACTATGAGAAAAATGGATAAAAAAGGCATAATGAAAAAAAAAAAAACAGAACAGAAATGTTCACATAACAGATTAGTAGGATATAAAATGTCTGTTCTTATATAAAATGTTTGGTAATACACTGCATGTTAAGCTTCCAACAGGTTATAGAAAAATGATGAACGAGTCCTTTAAAAGGAAATAAGTTGTGCCAGTGTGGTAAAAGGATGAGAACTTTATGTCTGCAGCTGTGTCACATATCTCCCTCCCTTTTCTTTTCTTTATGGACAGTGTCTGGGGTTGTGAATTTAGGGGCTGGGAATATGTGCGTGTTCTTTTATAGTGAATATCTGCGTGTCTTGTGTCTTTGAAGCATGCCAAATTTCAACTAGGGAACTCTGTGAAGCCGTCTGCACGTCTTACCTCCTCCATGGGTATGACCTGGGCATAGCCCCCTCCTGCAGCTCCCCCTGGGCACAAAGGAGAGGTAAAACAGTCAGAGCAAGACAACAGGACAAGGACTTTCAAAAGGAGCAATGCTGAGTGTTGGACTCAAAATGAACTACTCCACCCGAGAGAAAAATTTATCAAAGTATGAAACATTAGCCTCACGCTGAGACAGAATGTTTTTCACATTGTAACTTTGAACATTCCTAACTTCATGATTAGGCACCAGAGTCTCGGCCTTCCATGTTTCACTCCAATTCGTAAAAACAAATCAATTATTGATATGAAAGGCAACATACAAAACTTTCTTTGAGTCTTTTTTTTTTCAGAACAGTATTTCAAATGCTCATCGTTCTTGAAGAGACTGAAATGTCCACCTTGATAAAATTTACCAAAAGGCAGGGAGATAAAGACAACTTTCAGAGATCACACAATGCTAGATGACAACTTGTGTATTCACTGCTGACCTTTAACCCCAAAAGTGGGGCCCTGGGAAGGCTGTCTGAGACAAGCGAAGGAGTTGAGCTTGAGGTGGGCAGACATGGCCTGGACTAGACCGATGGTCACCGTGCTTTTACCCTCACCCAGTGGTGTTGGAGTTATACTGGAAACACAAACAAGGGAACATTTTCGACTTTCAATTTGTTATATTTTCTCACCTTAAAATGTATTTTTTTCTCCTTGTCTTTTAACTCAGATGTTGTTTTTTATGATTTTAGCCTTTTGTTATTTTTATTGTTTTAATCGATTTAATTGTTTTATGCTTGCTAGAACTTTATGTTTTGAATTTTTGTGTTTTTCTTTGTTCTTTAAAGAGCCTGTGACATCAGTTTTTTTTAATGATACAAATGTTTTTTGAAAGATAACTCTGAGAACATTTTACAAAATAATTTTCATGCTACTGAGATGAACAGCTGTTGAGATACTTGCATGTGAAGTAACAGGAAGTGATGCCAAAGGGGAATGTCTGTATGAAAAYAGAGCTAAGCTAAAATGCTCAACAGCCCAGACTGTGGAGAGGAATCTATGGGGTGCCGTTTGTAAAGTTACACAGTCAAAAATTATGTTCTAGATTATTCTGAGATGCTATCAGACAGAAACAAACAAACAAAAAAAAAGAGTGAGAGTTCAAATCATAATGTTTCAATAAACAAAGATCAGTGAGTTCTTTTTCTTAAAGGAGTTCCCCTTTGATGTCACTTCCTGTTTCCCTTTTGCYGAGCCAAATTCAAAAGAAAATAGGTCAGTAATGTGTCCAAAAGTGTAAAATAATGTGTGGTATGACAAGTTTCTTAAACAGAAGGATGYTTTCTTTGACTTTTTGTATCTGAAGGATAAGCATGTCACAGACACTTTAATGGTGTTTGGTACTTTGGCCAATAGTGGTGTTTTTACAGTGCTTTAGAAATAAAGTTGTATTGCATTGTACAAATTACAAATTGAAAGTAGGGCTTAATAATATTAAAAAAAAAAACTTGWGCTGTGCAGTATCCTGCATTTTTCTCCATTTCTCATTATTGTCATCTTTACACTGTTGTGAGCATCAAGGCCAGTGAGAGTCTGCTGGATTCAACAAATACATTAACATATAGAATATAAATGCATAATAAAAATTAATGGCCTATAAGAAAAAAAACATGATTTATTGATTTACTGCAGTCTTTTGAGCCACTGTAATATTGATATTGCACCCATTGAGAGTGCAATAATAATAAGTTTGTAGCTCTAATTAATGAAAGTCAATAAAGTAGTTCCTTGTGAGACAAAGTGAAGTGTATCACACCCACCCGGCAACAAGGACATATTTGCCATYGGGCTGTGATTGGAGGCGATTTAACAGGGACAGCTGGACTTTGGCTTTGTTCCTGCCGTAAGCTTCAAGCTCCTCCGGCAGCAAACCAATTTCCTCAGCGAGCTGATCCACAGGTTTAGGTGTCTGGGCTCTGGATATTTGTATGTCACTGRTTTAACAGACAAAAACAAATGTCTTAACAAAACAACAATCTGATATATTTTAAAGCACTCTGGAATCTTTGACACAATCAYATACTACATTTAACTACATCAGCATCAAATTCAACTGAGCCTATCAGGGTGAATCTTTACCTTGGCACGGGGGTCAGGGGTTGCAGTTTGAGGTTTCGGAGATGCCAGGGTCTGTACTGCTGCTTCTGGAGCCATCGACTGCAGCTATGTATCACATTCTGATCGAATTGTTTTTAAAACAAAGAAGATCACAGAGGGTTAGTTTTAAAAATGAGCTCTCTGAGATAAATACTGTGGGCTATGGGGTCCCACAAGGATCTGTGCTTGGCCCCTTGCTATTCTCCCTCTATCTTCTGCCTCTTGGTCTTCTTTTGCTCATTTTAACGTGGCTTTCATTGTTATGCTGATGATTTGCAACTGTATATGCCTTTTTCAATTGGAAACTGCACTGACCTATCTAACCTTACAACCTGCTTTACTAAAACAAGGAAATACAATCATATCACTCCGGTGTCGTCTTCTCTCCACTGGCTGCCCTGCCATGTTCGTGCAGACTTCAAAGTGCTGCTTCTCACCTATAAGGCCTTACATGGCCTAGCGCCTCCCTACCTTTCAGACCTTCTCCACACTTTTCTTTTGTGCCCCTTTTTTGTGGAATGATCTCCCTCAAGACATCAGGTTGGCCTGCTCAGTGGATGTTTTTAAAGCTAAATTAAAGACCCACCTGTACACCTTGTCTTATGTGTCTTAAATTTTACATTTGTATTTTATCCATTTTCAATGTTTTATTTGTTCTTACAACTTTTTATACTGATTTTTATCTTTTTGTAACTGTTCAGCACTTTGTTTGAAAGCACTTTATAAATAGTTATTATTATTTATTATTACAATTATTATTATTATTAAAAAGGAAAAAGATTATGGACTATCAAAGTGTAGGAGGCATTAAACAGAAAGTAGGTAAAAGGGTAGTGGTTAAAATGAGACCTACYTGTGATCTGTAAGCAGCTGTGAGGTATCCTAAACCAGATCTTGAGGACAAACCAGTGCCATCATCTAAAATGAAAAATACAAGCCAAACATACAAACATAGTAAGTGAGAAGACTCCACAGAAAATGAGCGTATAATAACCTCAGAGGGTCTAACAGCAACCAGACTGAAGATGTTTTGACTTTTTGTTTAAGTACTCATCAAATGCAACATTAATTAGCTGTACCCGACACCACTGTCGACTCGCAGCGAATGATAACGGTCTCTGGTCGGGCCCAGGTGGGCGGAACATCCATGTTTCCTGCACCTAACAGAACCACCACATCCGAATGCATCACCTGATGGAAAAACAAGYAAATAAAGCAGAGAATATATACAGTTTTGCCTTTTATGTRCATATATGGAAAACATAAACAACCGACAAGTCTCAAAAAACTTAAAATACACAGTTAGCTTCTAACCAGTAAAACTATTTGCTCCAGCTTTATTACAAATGATGGTGTTGTACTTTAAAAAGCAAAACACTGACTCCTTGTGGTCACTCATTAAAACTGCAAACGTTGACTGAAAAGCAATAAATGTTTAGATTCATACACTTCACAAAAGATAAAAACAATGAGAAGCTGAAGTGTATCACAAACTGCATTTATGTTATTTAAAAAAATTATTTAATACAATTAAACAAACCTGCTTCTGCAAACTCTTGGAGTTCCAATGACTTGTATCTGCCACCATGCCACCTCTTTCAATCAGGCATTGTAGGGTCAACCTGAGGGGTCCTTCTCCAACCAACAACACAGATTTCTCTTTCAAAGGAGCATCTGTAGAAATTTTTTAAATATGTTCAACAAATGGCAAACCATACTTTAGGCTTAAGCTGCATGTAAATAAAATAAAAGAATATCACAATAAATCAACAGCTGAACAATGTTCTTCATTGATTAAACAAGTGGCTTGTGTAAAGGTTTTTACTATATTTACCTTCACACACTCAAAATATCACTCATAAATCTGTTGTTCGTAAAGAAACATGAAGGACAACTGTAACTATTATAGGAACAATTTACACATTAATATTTTTCTGAATAAATAAATAAGGCCAAGCATCTTTGCTAACTGGTGTTAGCAATTCACAACATTAAAAAATTACTGTATGCTTCAGTTAGATCACACGTTCCCACCAAAAAAAAATACATTCTTCAAAAACATGTTTGCTTTGATTTTTTTTAAAGAAAACTGTAACAACTTCTTATCCGAGTACACAAAGCTGCTGATTAAAAAAAACGATTAAACACAGATCTTAACACGCCACAGTGATGCTGACGTCAGAGCTCCATTCAGCACAGTACATCCAATTTCATGTACTATAGATGTGTACACACGAGGATACCTTTAAAAACATCCAGAGGAAGTCGTTTGCTCAATATTGTTTATGCTTTTCACAGTCCGGCCTCGGTATCTGTTTTCAGTAACAGCAGAAGTTAGACCTTATCACTGCATCCTCTCGGGTTATATCTCTGTGCTCGAGTGTGTTAGTTCATGACAGGGTCAAAGCAGGTTTACAAAAGTACAAATCTTACGACTTAAAAACAGCAACGTATCAATGAAAGGAAAAAAAGCCAAGTAAAGCCAGACCAAAAATATGAGCTTTTGACGGTAGTTGATGTAAAACAATATGTTAAATTGAACCATTCTGCAGTTGCAAACATGCATCTCCCAACATAAAAAGCTAGGTGAAAAAATAAAATAAAATAAAATAAATAAATAAACTCACCATGTTTCCCCAGCAGATCTAAAATAGCACCAGCTGTAGGAGGCACAAAACTTTTACTCAGGTCTCCTCGCAACAAACGGCCCATGTTCAAATCTGTCAGGCTGTAATAAAACAAAAACACACTGAAATGTTTATAAAAACATTTAGAATATTACATTTCTTGGAAATTAATAATTTTTTACACCCTAAAACATTTCGGCWTGGTGATTTATTTCCATGTTAGCAATACTTCAGCTATAACCACGGCATCTTCATAGGTAAACATGCCGACTTCAGCAGGATTTTACCCATCGACATCCTTCTCCGGACTGAGCGTGTCGAGCACTCGACTGGTGAGAGAAGCCGGAGGGAGGTGGAGGCAGACCCCGTGCACTTTAGGGTCGCTGTTGAGCTTCAGCAACTCTGCTACAATCTAGAACAGAAAATGAGTGACAAAATAAATTATAATTTGTGGTTAAACAGCATTAAAAGCTACTGTTACAGTTACACAAAACTTATAAGGAGCTGAAGAGCAAAACCACTGTGATCAGATGCTGCACAAAGAAACAAAAGCTTAGTAAATTGTGTGTAAACTTGCTAAAAAATACTGTTAATTAAAAGCTTCGGACAATTTCACTTACCTCATCTTCGTGGCACTCCTCTGCCAAACAAATCTGAGTGACATTCAGGCCGATCTAATAACAAAAACGTATTTACTTACAGCTAAGGGTTGATTTTTGTCAAATTTGTACAAAAATGTAAAAAAAATTAAATCTTATAATGGAAGTGTCAAAAAGATACCTTGCATGCAATTTTCTTATTGATCTCCAAAAAGCCGTGATCTTCACCTGACTTTGAGTTGAAAAAATAAAAATAAATAAATAAAATGGAGGCCAGATAGCTTAATAATGTCCGTAAAATGAAACATGACAAACATCAAAAGGTCTATTGAGATAAATTAAGTCTTATCAAATAACATTCAGTCATGTAATACCGTATTTTTTGGACTATAAGCCGCTACTTTTTTTCCTGAACTTTGAACTATGCGATTTATAATCCGGTGAGGCTTATACGTGGGTTTTTTTCTTCAGCCACCAGGGGGCTCTTATGCTGCATTTGCTTCAACCACTCTCTTCAAAAAAAAAAAAGAAAGGAAAAAAAAAAGAAGAAAAAAGCGATCGCTTCCAGAGCCGACTGTTGTACCAGCAAGCAGCGATTTAAAGATAGTCAATGGCCAAAAACTCATAAAAGGGGATAAAACAGACATTTTTCACGGTGGAATCTGACTGATAAAAACTTTGGAGCTTAATCCAGGACCAGTTTGTGGATAAACGTCGAGTGAAGAGCYGCTGACTTTTTTTTCCTCATTGCACTCCCCGGGGAAGGAATCCCATGCAGTGACGTATGCTGGAGCGGGAGGGCTTTCCCAGCAGCTCGGCTCGGGGTTTCTCGGGGGAACTATGAAAGGTCAGTGCGAAAACAAACGCCGAACAACCACGTGACGGCGCATCAACCAGTCGACAGCCGAGCGACCATACTGTAGCGCCATTTTGTTTTAGCTAGTAGCAGACACGACACGACGGATCTTCGTCAGACACGATATTGGACCGTATGTGGGCCCACATCACGGATTCAGTGAAAGCAGCCATCAAGAAAACAAACTCAATTCCTGCTGTTATTCCTGGAGGTACAACAAAGTTTTTGCAACCCCTGGACATCAGTGTGAATCGTGCATTTAAAGCAGCACTCAGGGCTGAATGGGAGGCTTGGATGACTGACGGGGATAAATCATTCACAAAAACTGGCCGAATGCGAAGAGCGTCATTTCCTGATGTCTGCCAGTGGATCCTAACAGCGTGGAGCAGAGTGAACGAGTCCACCATCACCAATGGGTTCTGAAAGGCTGGACTGCTACGTGAAGAAAGCACCACAGCTTCAGAGCCAGCATTACCCGGGAGGACAACAGATACCGCTGTGTGACGCAGCTTTTCTCAGCTTGTTTAACTCCGACACTGAAGAGGAGGACTTCGATGGTTTCAGTGCGCTGGAGGAAGATGAATGAGACGTTTTGTTGGACCAGAAACTGTTAAAGAAAACTACCAAAATAAGGTCAGTTAAATGATCCGTATTCCTCCGAACTTTAATTCCTAAAGGTTTGCTTTTTATTTTTTTGATGCTGAATTCACTTTTTTGACGACAATTTTGGGTGTACTGTTTTTTTTATGTTGCGGGTGCGGCTTATAGTCCTGTGCGGCTTATAGTCCGAAAAATACGGTAAACTGATTTTTGTGCTACATCTATAGTATTTATGTTTGGCTTTACGTTACCTGGAGAATTGCTAACAACGGCTGGATTTCTGGGTTTCTTCTCAGCAGAGTCACCATTGCTTCTTTAGCACTCTGAACCACCTCCCTTAAAAAAAGAAAAAAAGATAGTTAACTCTATCCAATCACCCACAAATATTTATACACTAGCATGAATACAGAACATAAACCTGATGAATATAGAAGCTAATTGGTTCCAAAACCAGTAAATGGTAAACAGACACTTTTGGTTCAAAATACGTATAAGCTGCTTGTCGATAGAAAACACTCCCAATAAATACAAAAAAAGTATAAATCAGTAAAAATATGTGCATTAGCTGTGATTTCATGAATTAATCAACAGAAACAAGTTAGTTACTTGCAAATTACATCAAATATTTGTGAAATAATGTTTACCCTGTATTAATGTTTTAAAAATAATTCATTTAAACTTGGGGAATAAATAATGGGAAACAGAAAACTACAAGCAGACTGAGGCCAACTGCAAATACATTTACTATCTAAAAGTTATACAAAACAATCACAATTATAAACAGGAACATTATGAAAATACATATGTAAATAAAACTGGAMTGATAAAATGTTTAAAAACTGATCTGAGATAAAGAAATTATACATTTTGAGGGTGCAAACCGTTCAGCCTGCTATAATCCATGTAGAATCTACACGGTATCTACTAATTTATGAACTATATCAACTGTGCATGATTTTGTATTACAAAATCATTTCATATTTTCTGCAGGAACAGCTGAGTTCGCTTGTGTATTTATTATTATTGTATGCTTTTACTTTGTTTTTGTAAATGTGGCTCCCTGAGTATTTACCACAGTGCTTTCTCAAGCAGAAAAATCACAACTTAGTGGGAAAAGTCAAGAGTTACTGACCATAAATGTAAATATGGGCTTCATCAAGCAAACTACTTGCAATGTCTAATTGTTAGTAATTATTACACACATAAAATATTATATTGTTTCAAATGGAAATAAGCTTTATGCTTTATTGTGTTATCCATTTGTGTAAATGTTATTGTGTATTATATGCAGTACCATTTACATGATGAATAATGCCAGCCACAGTTTTCTACTTCCGGTATATTTTCAGAGCAACAACAGAGGGAGGTTACATCAGTTGGCTCGAGTCTCTGATCATTCGGAAGCACGTGCAGAACTGGCTTTTAGCCAAAAGAGACAAAAGCCTCGCGCTATTTATCACTCGGTCAATTTACGTACATAAAAAAACAAATATCAGTCAAATAAATTAAACTCATACAAGTTTTCTGTCTTACTTGTTGTACTTGGACCAGTTTTCTTCTTGTTTTTCGAAGTTAATAGTTAATGTTGGGCTGGTCCCGCTGCTGCTGCTGGAGGTAGCGCGAACACACAGGGTCATCCGGTTATCGGTCAACCCAACCGGTAAGCATCTCCGCGACAGACCGCTGAATCTGCTTCCCTGACGGGATGTGTACAGTSGAAGACTTCCACAAGCGCTGCGAATTGTTGACAACTTCATGGTCCCCTGTGTTTTCTTCCTCCGCTTGTTGCTCCACAGACAGTAAAAGTTCCTCGAGGAGAAAGGAAAAAATGAGGTTGAGCTGATGGATGTGCGTCGTGTTCAGGGGCAGTCGGAAATTCAAAAACGCTCACGAACAATCTGAAGAGAAAGGCGCTTTTTATGGGAGGAACGTAAGGATTTCACGTAGTCAGTGTACAGCCTATCATACGGCAAAATTTTGAAAATATTGCAAATTTAATCACTGCTGCTGAGTCATTTGGTTTGACGAAAACACGCCCCCCTATTCCACAGTCATCGGAAGCTGGTTGCAGAAAATCCGAGGGGTCCCTGAAGTAGAACGTTAATTAGGCTTTTGTTTTGTTTAATTTACCTGAGAATTAGAAAACTATTTCTAGTTGTATAGGTTCACTTGAGATTTAAGTTGTGATTCAAAGGGGGCACCTTCAAGCTTATTGGAAGTCTGAGATGCACATTCTAGTTGGGCCATTAAAAAACGCCTTTTTTTAAATATTACTTTTGGTTAAAAAAATGTTTCATATTTTACAGGTTAAAATTTGCAATAGTTCTTTTTCAACCAGTCATATTTCATTACAATGTCCACACACATTAAATGGCTTATTTTTCTCCTATGACTGATAAAAGTAACTCAGATTATTGTAAATTGTAAACAGTGCCCTACAAAATGACATATAGCGGGTATTGAACACGTCAACGTTTTTCTCAGTAAATATATTACTAGAGGTGCTAATGACATGAAATTTTCACCAGATGTCGGTAACAACCCAAGTGATCCATACATACAAWGAAATCAAACCATAAATGTCCAGAAATGAAGKTATTTGTAATAATGTGGAATGGCACAGGGAAAAAGTATTGAACACATGAAGAAAGGGAGGTGTAAAAAGGCATGGAAAGCCAAGACACCAGCTGAACTCTCTCAGTAATTAGAAAGCAAGCCTGCCCCTTGTCAGTGGAGGTTAATATCAGCTGGTTCAGTCCCAGATGATGGCCAGGTATCACACAAGAACCATCTGATGATGGGTAAAAGTAAAGAGCTCTCTCAAGACCTTCACAACCTTGTGTGGTGAGCGTGCATACAGGCCATGGTGGTTCAGTGCATTACTTATTGTTTTCTTTGAAACAAACGTACCTGCTAATTCCAGGTCTTTCTGAAGCTCTCCACAAGTGGTCCTTGGCTCTTGGACAACTCTTCTGATAATTCTTTTCACTCCTCTGTCAGAAATCTTGTGAGGAGCACCTGGTCGTGGTCGGTTTATGGTGAAATAATGTTCTTTCCACTTCTGAATTATGGCCCCAACAGTGCTCACTGGAACCTTCAGAAGTTTAGACATTCTTCTGTAACCGATGCCATCATTATGCTTTGCAACAATAAGGTTGTGAAGGTCTTGAGAGAGCTCTTTATTTTTACCCATCATCAGATGGTTCTTGTGTGATACCTGGCCATCATTTGGGACTGAACCAGCTGATATTAACTTCCACTGACAAGGGGCAGGCTTGTTTTCTAATTACTGAGAGAGTTCAGCTGGTGTCTTGGCTTTCCATGCCTTTTTACACCTCCCTTTCTTCATGTGTTCAATACTTTTTCCCTGTACCATTCCACATTATTATAAATAACTTCATTTCTGGACATTTATGGTTTGATTTCTTTGTATGTATGGATCACTTGGGTTGTTACCGACATCTGGTAAAAATTTCATGTCATTAGCACCTCTAGTAATATATTTACTGAGAAAAATGGTGACATGTTCAATACTTATTTTACCCGCTGTATTGTCTGACACTGTTATGCAAAGTCTTTTTGTGAGGTAGTCCGCAATTAAAGCATAATGACACATCTCTGATGACACTGATGGTGGTCAGAGGGTCCGGTGGCGCCGGTGCATGGCAGCCCCACCTCTGTCAGTGTGCCCCAGGGCAGCTGTGGCTACAGTGTAGTTTGCCATCATCAGTGTGTGAATGTGAGTGTGAATGGGTGAATGTCTGTTAGTGTAAAGCGCTTTGGGGGTCCAGAGGGACTTGAAAAGCGCTCTATAAGTTCAGTACCATTTACCATTTACCATTACCATCTCATCCATACTCATTCTTTTTTATTGAGCAATATAAGACATAAAAGCTAAACAGAATAATAAAAAATAATATACTTGAAATCATAATTGACATTTTCTAACAAAGAGGACACAATACACTAAATTTAAAAACAATTTTCAGATTTTCTAAAAAGCTAATGTATTTATTTGATCACTTAGAGGAGAAATATACTGATTACAAATAAATACTTGCCATTTTTAAAGGCCTACTATAAACTTGAATTAAGTCAGCTTCACAAACTTATCAACAAATCCAAAGTAATGTTTCAACTATAGCCTATGGGTAAAGACAAGGCAAAAATACACCTTAAATGAATGAGCTGACAATGGGAAATATAAACTATTAGTACATATTATTGATTAATTAGATTTATTTCATTGAAATATTTCGAATAAAATTAGAAATCCTTTCTTTGATGTATTTTGTTTTTGTGTGGTCATAGCAGTAAGTAACAATTGTTTCAATTAGTCTAAATAAAAATGTCCAAAATGTTTAAATATTTTTCCAGTATGTAGCTGACAGTAATTAATTGACATTTGTTGAACCGGGGTGGCAAATACTTGCTATGTATTTGCATATGTGTGTGTTTCCAAAAGGCAGGTTAAACCACATTATTTGGTTTTCATCCTCTCTCAAGAAAGTGAAGTCACTTGGGTGTGGTTGAGAAAATGTATTCACTTGTTTGTTTCAAAACAGGTTTGACTCTGCTTTTGACAAGGCTCAGTCATTAACCCCACCCAACCACCCAAAATGGTTTAATTTCCCCCTAACAGCAGCTCTAAAATCAAAACCATATGGTCAGAGAACTGCTCAGCTGCTGTGTACATCCAGTTCAATATACTGCTCACTGCACACATCGTTTAATGCTGCTGAAGCTACAGGCATCACCAAGACCAAACCAGCCTGACTTCATTCCACAAGTCAAGGTTTTTTTTTTTGTCATACGTGGCGTGGTGCAGTCAGTCGCTCTTATGAAAACCCTCAGAACAATTCCTCCTTTAGCGCCAAAGATAGCAGCTTTTTATGCATGAGGAGGAGGTTTGTTTTTCTGTTCAGTCTGGAGAGGTCGGCCTCAGAGCTGGAGGATGCTGCTGAGGTGCTGCAACCAGCCGACAAGGGACAACGTTTAACATCTTCGGATGAAACAGGTAACAAGCTTTCTTCTTTGTTTGGTAACCCAGGATCAGACTGATAAAACTTTATTAGTTTGTTACTGAGAAAGAAGACAAATGGCTGAATGACTGTCAACAAAGCATGCACATTTTTGGAAAAAGGGGTTCATTTGTCTAGGATTGTGTTGTATCTTCTTTTTGTTTTGTTTTTTAAACATTTAAAGCAAGCATTTGCCTTAAAGTTTATGCAAGGTTGTAGCCTGGTAAATTTGATCATGAAAGATTTTAAGCTAATTTCAGATCAGAGTTGAGTAAATTTTACAGAAAACAACAAAGCCAACAACAGTTTTCATTTCTAACTTAATAATGTTTCAACACTAGTTTTAAATGTAGCATCTACCTTTTTCTTAGCTTTGTCTTGATCACAGAAATACACGGCGGTACTAGATTTTGTTTTCAGCCAAGATCGGGGACAACAATTTTAGGCATGTTGGAGGAGATCAAACGATTAAATTTTCTTCTTTAATCTGATGGGCTGCTTGTGGTAAAGGTTAAAACAAATGCTTGGAGAAAGACGTCAGACTCATCAGAACATTTAAGAACCAGTTTGGTGAGAAAAGAAACTTCGGACTATTCTCTGGAAAACCTGTTGGGCTGCTGTTAGGTGCTGGTTGAGTTAGTCGTAGGAAGAAGGAAAAGGTTTTTTCATAACCATTTTATTGTTTTATTTGTTTTCAGACTTGTTTTTTTTAAGTTTGATTCCTGTATGTAATCTATTTTTCCTTAAAAAAAATAGTTATAGCATGCCTTGTGTAACTAAAATCACTGTTTCTTTCTCTTGACAGGTTAACTCTTTTGAGTGTTCAATGTGCTTCGAAGAAACAATAATCAGAACATCGTTTTGACCCTGTAGTCTTCACTTCTCCGGCTCAAACATGAGGGACCGACTGAGCAACCTGCAGGAGATGCACAGCGACGAAGCCGAGTCGCTGGAGTATCCCGAGTCCACCATGTCCGACTCCTTCAGTAATGTCGACCTGGAAGAAGAGCTGCCCCATGAGGCAGTCATCTTTGACAACAGCCCCGATCTGGACGATGTCTTTTCTCAGTCCCAGGACATCCACCGAGAGGTCCAGCTCATTCGCCTTGAGGTCAAGAGGCTCCGCGAGCAGAACTCCCGAATGCTCCAGGGTACGACCGCCATGAGCACAATCAAAGAGGACTCCAACGCCATCGGTGCCGACATAAAGAACAAGGCTGAAGGTGTCCTAGAACGTCTGCACAACATGGACGGAACGGCCCACAAGCTGGAAGAAAAGCACGGCTCAAACTCTGCCGTCACGCGCATCGCACGAACCCAGTACGCTTGCCTTAGTAACGGTTTTCGAGACGCCATGTTTGACTATAACGAGGCTGAGATGAGCCATCGGGAGAACTGCAAAGCCCAAATCATGAGGCAGATGGAGATCGTGGGGCGTGACGTGACGGACGAAGACCTGGAGGACATGATCGAGAAAGGTCAGCTGAGCGTCTTTACTGACAACGTCGTGAGCGAAGGCAAAACGGCCAAATCGGCTCTGTCCCAGATAGAGAAGCGGMACCAGGAGCTGATAGATTTGGAGAGCCGCATCAAGGGCATCCACGAGATTTTCCTGGACATTGCTCTGCTGGTGGAAGAGCAGGGCCCCATGATGAACTCTATCCAAACCAACGTTCAGAAAACCGACGCCACCTTACAAGACGCCCTGGTCAAACTCAGCAYGGCTAAACGCCACGACAAAAACAACCCATTTAAAAAGATGTTCTGCGGCTGCTTTCCGTGCTACAACTAAAGGACTGGGAACAAGAAACAGGTCAAGGGATACCGGCAATTGAAATGTCTAAAAAGGAAAATATGTCTTTGCTCTTATTGTCACAAAGTATTTATGTGGCGGTTGAAGAGTAAAAACATTTCTCAAGAAATAAAGTGAAGGCTTTAAAGAACAAATGAGTCAAGTAACAAAACTGTGGATCATGTGTCAAGACAATTTTAAATTATTTTCATATAGCTTTTAGAATTTTAGAGAATTTAACATGTTAAACACGGAAACGTTGAAGCCTGAGAAATACTTTCTGATGCAAGACAAGGTAACTGAAATGATCCTTTTCTTTGTAATCTCAAATTTGTTTTGAAGAAATCAACAGGTTCCACAATAAATGGAGCTGAGATTATGTGCGCCACCTTTTGATTGTAAACCTAGTGGCTGCTTTTGTTGGATACCATCTGTGGTGTTGTGTATATATTATAGAAGTATTAAACAATGACATGAGTCTATATTTATTTTTGTTTCGGTCAAAAACATAAAAGTTGATGAGATTTTGAATGAATCCTCGCTCCTAAAAACATACCACAAATATGAGAAATTATTTTATGTGGATAAAAGCCGTCAAATGATGATAATCCTTTTAGTTTTTCACACTGCTGGAATTAGTGTTGTAGTCAAGACCACCAAGACCAGAGTGTATCGAGACCGAGACAAGACCAAGACTTTTAGGGGCTGGACCAGGTTGAGACCAAGACAGAGGGAGGGCGAGACCAAATCGAGACCAAGACTGGAGACTAGACCTAGACCATCAAAAGGCCGGTCTTGAGTACTACAACACTGCCTGGAATTTCCTATTTTTTCCTGTGACACATAACACACATCTCCATGTCCCAGTGTTAGTCCAAGAATGGGCTCTGTCCTGGTCAGGGGCGGAGCCAGGGGGTGGCCAGGTGTGGCCATGGCCACCACAGACAAATCTTTGGCCACCCCATTGGCCACCCTGCTGTACACACCCCTTACACAGTGAAACAACTTTTAGGGGTGTAATAATCCTCCTGAACAGTTGGTGGCAGTATTTAACAGTTTGACACATCACCAAACTCTATCACTGAAGAAGAGTAATGACAAGGAAGTGATGGTTTTCTTTATAAACAGAACATATGCCTATGTAATCTGATTTATGGTGTCAACTTTTGGACTTATGGTGACAAAAAAATTTAAATTTTTTTATCACCATAACACAGTGTCATTTTATGCTATGAAGACTGCATGATGCTCTGTGTTTATTTATGAGTAGGTCTATCACTAGGGG